AGGCGCGCTGTCAACTTTTGAGAAAATGAAAGGATTTTAGGCAGTGCAGCGCCTCTGGGCTGCATGGCGTTAGCGTGGTTAGCTTGTTAGCGTGGTTAGCTAGCTAACACGTTGACGGCGTACAGCCCCACGCACGGGGCGATGCGCAGTAACTCGTTAACGGAGATTTGCCGTGTTCGTCTTGTCGCTTCCTGCAGGTGAAGCGATGGGGGAGGAGGGGGAGTTGTGTTCAGTGAAGGAGGGGCGAGGCCGAGTACGTTGCGTAAAGACAAAAGTGGACGAAAGAGAGGCAAACTTGCGGCTCCACAAGTATAGTTATAACGTAACATAGACTATATCGATATAAACGACATTGTCACATCTTATATCTCGTATAAAAATATATCGATATTTTTTAAAAACTCGATATATCGCCCAGCTCTAGTTCCTGGGCAGACATCTAATTAGTGCGTTAAGGCTTGAATGGTGATTCTAAATTGGTTATATTTGAGAATGGTTGCCTTTCCCTCTGTGTTAGCCACCAGTTCATATTCATATTCTTGTCAAAAATAATTTGAGGAACATCCAGCTCCTATATTCAGTGAAGGCCAAACCCCTGTTTGTTTAAATGTGTTTTATTTGTCCATAGCTTCCAGCATGAATAGTTTGAATGTTCAGACTCAATAGGAGCATGCTGGAAAGGTGAGACCTGCATTATTCTACAAAACCCCCATATGCACCCCAGCCTCCTCTAATGATCACAGCCCAAAGCCAGCTGAAGCAGCTTCCATTATTTAGAAACGCTGCACTGAAAGGCAATCTATCATTAAAAGATGTGCATTCTCTCAGCTTTTGTTGGACTGATAATGGGACCGTAACAAGGCAGCACTGTCTATACTGCGACCTTATAACGTCCAAAAACAATGACTACCACCGACAGTTTGGCTCTGTGTTAACAGAGATCAGTTTCCAGACTCGTGTTACACTTTGTGAAAACTGTGTTGGCCCTTTTGAGGAGCTGGTTGTGGTCAGTGCTGTGATCCAGCACACTGCGTGGAGGCGACATCATGGATAAGAGAGGAGACAGCAGGGCAGCCGATGCATTGTTGCCAGGGCACTGGAGGGATCTGAGAGAGTGGAGCATAGAGAAGAGACAAAGCCACAGAGTAAGACTGTTTTTCCACAAGCCGTCCTGAACATGTAGGCTTGTTTTCTAGGTACAGAACAAACTGAGAGCATCTGCACATTGCTGACTACTGCCAGCACAGTCAATACTAAGTAATTTAGACGGCATGCTATCTATTTTGGTCAATTCAATAACACACTGATTATTGATCAGAAGATCAATGTCACTGCTCCTTTATTATGTCTGCAAATTATATGAATAATTTGCATATGACTTTTCTCGTGCTGCTTCTTTCAAGGACACAGCAGTTAATGAATTTAAGGCTCATCATCACAAGTACTAATGCACTGAGCTTGTTAGTGTTTGTCAGATTGAACTGACTAAGCTGTCCATTACAAACCATCACGAGACAGGTTAGTTTTACTAATATTTTTTACATTACCGATACTTTTTACATTATACATGCTTCCCGTAGGCAATATTATTAGAAAACACTGTATAAATTTTTATTGCTATGCAGATTTTACCCAGCGTTATCTATCTATTAAGCCCAATGACAAAAATCAACTAGTTAACCTAGAGGAATGTCTTAAAGAAATAAAGGCCTGAATGACTTCTAATTTCTAAATTTAGTTAAAATTTAGGTACGCAGTTTATAGAAACTTGTTTATAACCAGATGCTTATGTTATATGACATTACCATGGCCTCCGGTGAGGAATCTCGTAGTCATTTGTAATCAGGATATGTCCCTCAATGTGCACATTAAACAAATACGGAGAACTGCCTTCATTCATCTGCTCTGTATCGTTAAAATGGGAAACATCCTGTCTCAGACTAAACTGCTAAAAAGCTAGTTCATGCATTTATTACTTCCCGGATTACTGTAATTAATTTTTGTCATGTCGTTCTAAAAGTTCCTTAAAAAGCTTTCAGCAGATCCAAAATGCCTCGACAAGAGTACTGACAAGGACTGGAAAGAAAGAGCATATTTCTTTCATAGAGGGTTCTCTTCATTTACTACCTGTTAAATCAACAATTTTAATTTTATTTTAAATCTTGAAAAATCTGGCTCTGTCATAACTTAAAGATCTTATAATACCTTACTATACTTCATTAAAGCCTGCAGAAGGTTTCTTCCTGTTAGAGTTTTTTTCTTCCTACTGTTGGCTAGTGCTTGTTCATAGGAGGGTGTTTGATTGTTGCATTTTATTTTTAATATTGAAGGGTCTTTATCTTGCAATATAAAGCACTTTGGGTCAACTGATGTTGTGAATTAGCACTTTATGAATAAAATTGAGGAGAATTTGATCTTACTGATGATGTCTTGTTCCAGTAGTAATTCTGGTCAGTTACAACAGGAACTGCAGGTTCAGACATTCGGTTTGAGTGCTTGACTGACGAGAAAATGTCTGAATGCTCCAAATCAAAATATTGTAGTTCTGTGGATAGCAAACCCACCTGAACCAGTGAAGGAGAGCTGGATAGTTTGGATGTATCCGTAGATTAGCAAACTGTTATGCCATATCTGAAAAATAACTCTTAACAAAAACTGTTTCTCAGAATAAACTACTCTCTCGTTTTCATCCTGGTAGTTTCCATCATTTATATTCCTTAAAATCTGCAAAGCTTATGACTTTTTGGTAACTTGTTACTGTCCTTGATGAGTAAGGCATTACACAGGCCAACCTACTTGCTATAATTTTTTTAAAGCCTTCCCTTCATGTACATTGGGTAAAAGCCAGACTTCAGAAATGTTTGTTTTCTACAGAACCAATAAAAATGTGGGAGAAAAGCGAGTCTTTCAACACATATTCGTTCACTTGGTGATGGAGAATGGTGTCAATTATATCAGTACAAATCTGCCATAGGTGTTTAACTGGTGACATTTAAGGCCATAGCATATAACTCGTCTTTTTCATACTCATCTATTCGTTCAGTTGGCCCATATGCCCTTTTGGCATTGTTAGATCTAAAGACATCACTTCAAATAGGATAAAAATGTTTCACCATAGGTGAACACTCAGAATAACTGTACTATTTTTCATGGACCCTTTCCTCCAAAAGCATAAAATGGACACAAAACATGTCCAACAAATACCCTAAAAGGAGCCACCAGATCACCTGACAGCAGGAGTCAAGTGCTCAAGATTGTCCTTTAAATTATGTCTTGTCTATACATGCTTATATATGTGTTTACCAATACAGGATAAAACACTGCCTTACAATCAGGCACCCACCTACATTTTTTGTGTTTTTTGACTGAGCTGATATTAAAAAATGTCATAGAAATATGTACCAATTAAAGTATTAATTAGTTTGGTTAATGAAGCTGTGAACACAAGTAAATTACCTCACAGTGACCATGAAGCAGAACTGCACCATGCTGTGCTCACAGCAAATATTAAGAGAGACGAGGACAAATCCGCCCATCGGCACAGATCTGTCTCCAGCTGTGTGTGAACTTTTAATTTAAGTGGAAATTAAATACCTTAACCCCTTCCACCCAGGAGGCTGTGTCAATTATAAAAGCACAATTTTTCCCAAGTTGCCATGGGCGACTCATTCACTAAACTACTACAATGAATTGAGTACAGCTGCAGTGCTGACACATTGGTATTACAGACTCTAATTTATCCTTTTTATTTATAAAAGTCACTGGTCATGGCCAGTCTGAGTATTTCTGCTGGGTTTTTTGCACATATCCTTGTCTGGAGTTTGCAGAGAGTGATCTGAAATTAGAAACTTTTCAGTTCTCAGGGTGAAAATACTTTGATGTCAGAAGTCAAAGGAGAATAGCCAGACTGCTTAAAGCTAAAGACAACAGTAACTCATTAGAATCACAGTTTGCAGAAGAGCATCTCTGAACTTGCACAGCCTCACTAAAACTGGAACACTGTTAAAATGTTGGCTGGTCTAATGAGACCCAATTTCTGCTCCAACACTCAAATCGTAGGGTCGGAATTTGCCTTCAACAGCATGAAAGCAGGGATCCATCCTGCCCTGTGTCAAAAGTTTAGGCTGGTGGTGTAATGTTTTGTGGCACACTTTGGGCCTCTTTGCACCAACTGGACATAAGTTATGCCTATCTGAGTGTTGTTGATGACCAGGTCCATCACTTTATAAACACAGTGTACCCATCTACTCATGGCTGCTTCCAGCAGGACAACGTATCAAATCACAAAGCTCAAATCCTCTCAAACTGGTTTCTTGAACATCACAATGAGCTGACTGCACTCAAATTGTCTCCACAGCCACCAGATCTGAGTTCAGCACAGCACCTTTGGGATGTGGTGAAACAGGAGTTTCACATCATGGATGTGCAGCCAACAAATCTGCAATGATTGTGTGATGTTGTCACGTCAACATGGACCAAAAACTCTGAATATTTCCAGCATCTTGTTGACTCTGTGTTACAAAAAATTAACACTAACACCCCTCTGAAGGAACCAAAACGGGGTCCAGTCTGGTGTTACATATACTGTATAAAAGAATAGTAATGATGCATAAATCAGACTTTCTTCCTGATGACCAACTAAAACAACAATTACTTAAAAAAATAACAACTAATGAGTAACTGAGTCCCTTGTTGTAAAGGTTTACTCCAAATCAATGACAAAAGAGACAAAAACCAGAAAACATTTGTATTTGCTGAAAAACTGTGCTCATGCTGGACCTCCTTACACACTTAACATGACCTTGAGACAAATGTAGCGCATCTTCAAACAGAAAATATGTCCTGTAAAGTGAGGTATGTTGTTTAAATTGGTTACACTGAAGGCTGCCCTTTCCATCTAAACTGAAGCAGACCACCTGTGTGCATTAGAGGTGCAGTAAGGTTGGCTGCCTCCCGGAGCCTCTTTAATATTTTATCAACCAAAATGTGAAACCTCTCTGTATGCTCAGATCTGTGTCTGCTGTGATCAAAAGGCACATGAGCCAATTTCGTTTGCAACATCTTTCTTTAAATGATGAAATACTTCATTTTGTTGCTTTCCCTGTGTCCCCTTTGACAACCCGCACCCACCTCCTGCGCCACACAGAGCTGGGTTTTAGATGTGGAAGCTGTGCTCAGGTCCATGGAAAGACAGCTGGTAAGTTGACCCAAGTCTGTTTTATTAAATGTTAATAGATAATAATATATAATAAATCTAAATCAAAATGGTAAGCTGTTAAACTCCTAAAAAATTTCAATTTAGGGCATCGTCTGAAGTTTTCCTTTCTTGCATGCTTTTCTCACTTTTGGTTCAAACGTCTCCGTGTGAAGTTTTGTGTTTGTTAGCTAAACTGGTGTTTCTAAACTGTTGGTAGGTGTGGATATAATTGTGAATGGATGGTAATAAACTCCAGAAAATGTAGGTGGAATTGGGTCAGGAGAAACTGCCCTGCAGCAGGAGGCAGTTTACATCAGTTATATTCTGATTGCTGCCTCTCACTACAGTGTGTGGATTATTTGCATCGAGTGTGCATTCAGGCATCACGCAGGTTAGAGGCCGTTTAATGACCAATCTATTCCAACTGCAGAGCCTATTTGTATTCCCACAGCACATCCATCGAGGCTGCAGTGCCAGTCGTGGTCACGGATGCATAAGAGAAGCAGTCTGAGCGAAACCAAGCCTGAAAATGTCCTTTAGTACACCAGTGGTCCCCAACCCCCGGGCCTCGGACTGGTACCGGGCCGCGAGAGTTGAGGCTCAGGTGTGAAATGTATGGTTTTTAGCGGTTTTTAGCGTTATTTTGTTATCGTTAACTCGGTTTTCCTTGGTCTTTTCACGTGAGTTATGAATAAATCTTCTTTTTTTGGTACCGGTACTAGTTTTATTTTGTTGTATTTATCCGCAACACCTTAAAGGCTGGTCTGTGAAAATAATGTCGGGCATAAACCGGTCCGTGGCGCAAAAAAAGGTTGGGGACCGCTGCATTACACCGTAAATGGACTGAATCTGTGAATCGAATTGGATATTTAGATCTGGATTTATTTGTGATATTTTCTTGAAAACTTCAAGACAACATCTCCCAACATTACAAATTCAGTTTCACATGTCTTTGTGAAAGGGGGCAGAATGTCACAGCTGTTAGTGCTGTCACTCTGCAGCAAGATGGTTCTTGCTTTTAGTGATGTGTCGGCCGCGAACGAAATGGCTCTTAGAGCCGGATCTTTGATGTGAACGACGCAGGCTGGCTCCTTATCGCGAGCCGTGGGTTTTTTTTTTCCCCCAAAAAAAGGAACAAAACAACCTGAAGAGCCAGTTCGGAGCCGAAAAGAGCCGTCTCTTTTTAGTGAGTCGAGCCAAAAGAGCCGGTTCTCTAAAAAGAGCCAGAAATCCCATCACTACTTGTTTTGAACCTCCTGGTCAGATAGATGGAGACTCCAAATACATGTCCAAGGACGTGTTTCTTAGGTTAGCTACTTTATTCCAAGTTGGCCTTGGGTATGGATGTTAGCAGCTGATGAGCTGCTGAATGTATCCCAAACCCCTAATATTACCATATATCTTGTGAGAAAAAGGATGGATCAGTGATAATAGAACTTGCTCTTATGTAGCGCTGTTCTACCTTACCGGATGTAGGGTATGTTTAACATTTACACTCCAATAAATGACGAGTAACTCAGGGTTCTTGCCCAAGGGTACTTTGGCATGTAGACTCATGGATTAAATCACCAGGATGACCTGCTCTACCTCCTGAATCACAGCCAATATTTGGATCCAGATTCCGGTTGACTTTATCACTCTGAAGTTGGACAAACCTTCAGCTCTGATAAATTTTTCAAAACTTTGAGTAACCTGCTAACAAACTGAACCAGTCAAACAGTCTCCTCAGCAGAAGTAACGACTGTATTTTTAGATGTTTTGTTTTGTTTTGTTTTTTTCAAATGTTTTGTTTTTTCAGATGTATACCCTAATGTTGGCAGTGAAGCATCAAACTAAAGTTTCTTCTTTTTTTCCTCAGAATTCTTTTCTGGAGAAATGTCCTCAGTCGAAATGTGGAAACAGCCCAGTGGGTCCTCCATCTCCTTTAAGCCACAGCAGGTCTCGCTCCAGTCAACAAGCTGATCCGTAAAGTCAACTTTAGATGCTTTTCAACTTTCTGACAGCAAAACGAATCCCATATTTTTGCCCCAAACAGTCACTTGGAGTAGACAGACTTTGAGCACCTCTTCTTGCCGGTTTTCCTTTATTCCAGCGACAAAGAGCACACAGAAGTGTACGCTCTGTGCCACGAGCACCAAACCTGATGTGATTGACAGCTTTGTTGGAGGGTTTTTTTTGGCTTGCTAAAATCCCTTGTGCAATAATCTCTCCTTAAGTAGTTGTTTGACATTACAGGGAGGAAAGCAATTTCACACCCGGTTGTATCATTACTCAACTCATAAGCGATGAAAACCTGACGGTCTCTGGAATGACTGAAAAACTTTCTGTCATTACCAAGCTGCCAGACCAGAAATAAACAAGTGTTTTCTGTGATGTACACGCACGGCCTGCTGCATCTTTATTTGAAGGGAAATCCACACCCACACTCCCAGCAGCACAAAAAAATTAAAGCTCCCTGGCTTATTCGTTTCTATAATTGAGCCTTTTGCTCTGCACGTGGATTCACAAACATGTCGAATTACGACTAAATCATATAGCGTGACAATGGGCCCCCTATGCACAGGATCTTAGCAATTAATACTGTTTTTCATCTTTTTATGGGCTGCATCATTTCCCTTGCCAACAAATGAGATCTTGTTATTTCCTGCCTGATTACATAAGTGATTGGATCCTTATTGATATTAAGGTTGTGCGCTGCCCCAGAGATACCAGTGTGCGTTTAATGATACGTTCCAGTGGGAGCGACAGACCGCTAAGTTATTTTCGAAAAGGGACCAAAACAGCCTCTGTGGCGGGAATATGGCCGACTGTTATGCATCTACTCTATTAAGAACTCTATTATTGTGAAAATCCCTGTTTGTCACTCTGACAACTGTGTACAACAAATCCCTCCGGCTGAAGTACTCCACTGGCAGAAGCCCAGGGAACTAATGAGCCTAATATGTCCCCAGGAACGTCGCCTCTGCCAAGTGTGCACTCTAAATCCTCCTGTGTAATCAAGGCGGTGCAGGACATAGATATCTGCAGATAGTGGCAGTAGTACTTCCATATCTCACTGTTGTCTCCTGCCCTGATGAGTCTGTCTGACTCAAATTACTAGGTGAAAGCAGGGCTTTTGTGCTGCCAGTAACGTGGAGTAGCTTGGGTAATGACTATGGTCTTCCTGAACACTCTGGTAGACCATGGGAGCTAATCTAATGAAGGGGAAAGAGCCATGGTTCATAATTGCCTGAGAAAGAAGCTGGAAGAAAGGTACACATGGAGACTCAAACCTGTTTTTCCTGCTTGCTCCAAACTCAGACGCTGCTGCAAAAGCAGGAGAGGAATCAAGAGATGCTGATGATAGTCGTGCATGTTAAGGACACCGAGCATTTAAACAATCAGACCCGTTCAGAGTCGTTCTGCACTGGTACTGTTTTAAGTGTTAATGTTTTAGCTGATTTTGAAACGGGATGTTACAGCCTGCTGCTGCAGACTCTTGGAGTTTGAGGTGAGGACCCAAACGCAGACAAAACGAGGTGCGGAAACAAACTTAAATTTGTGAGCCTTTTATTTAGGTTTTACACAAAGACACAAAATAACGAAAAAAACAGAATGTAACCCAAACTTGTAACATAAACTGGGAAAACTACTAAGAACCTATGAAACCTGGACACACAAGGAGAGGTGCGCAGATAACCTGATGATGAACACAGGGAAACTCACACAATAAATGCACATGAGGGTGACGAGGGAAGTGGAAACACACGAGGAACGCAGCTGGGATGAATAGGCCTAATGACACAAGAGGAAGCAAAACTGAACACGAGATAAGAGACCATCAAAATAAAACAGGAACCGCGCAGACTAAGACACACAGACTTGACACTGGGACCGGGAAAGAACAGGAGAACATGGAAACAGAGGGAGATGAAACACAAGACATGACTGGAACTCGGGGAGCAAGGGACACGGAGGGGAGGAAGGGAGTGAGAGAGCAAGCAAGGGATAAAGAATGAGAGGGAGATGAAGGGCTGGGGAGACATGGCATGAAACATGGGAACAGAAAAGTGAGCGGAGACACGGAGGGAGACACAGACATAACTTAACGAACATATACATACACATCAACAAGAAAACATGGATCATAATTCTAATTAAACTTACAGCCTAACCAGGTCTAAACTCTATGCAAACTGTAAACACTGGAAGTTAAACATTTCCCCAAAATAGCAAAAAGGGATCAAAAATACAAAATATACTCAAAATGCTGAGTCAACGACCCAGCACGCTGACATCGGAGAGGTTATAAAGACTGATGGTTGTTTCGTATTCACGTCGGTTGTCCTGTTTCACTAATTTGTGCCTCCTCCTGTGTGTGACCTGGAAATCAATCTCAGTACACCATGTTGTTAGACGTGTCTTAGCTCCTAAAAATACATCTGCAGGGCAGAGCAGAGCGGCGGCTTCGCTAGAAGAGCGATAACGGAGGATACACACGTGTATCGTTTTACAGAAGGATTTTCTGTCGATTACTGTTTCTATGTATTTTTAATTTAATTAAAATTGTCCATAAATATAAAAAAAGACATTCAGAGGTTGACTTACTGGTGTGTTTCGGATAATTGTCCTGGCACATAACCTGACTGAGCTTGAACTTCAGGGCATGAGCTGATGGAGAGACGTCCTCCTTCAGGTCTTTCTGGTAGAGAGAACTGATGTTTCCATCAGTTACAGTAAGTCGTCCTGAAGCAGCAAAGCAACCCCAGACCATCACATTACCACCACCATGTTTGACTGTTGGTCTTTGTTTTTTTTTAAATGAAATACTGTGTTAATTTATAACACGTGTAACAACACTCAAAAGTTCATCCTTTGTCTCATCAGTCCACGGAATATTTTCTGAAAAGTCTTGAGGATCATCAAGATTGTCAAGATGTTCTTATTTTTCTCTCTTGCCAAATGTGAGACGAGTCTTGGTGTTCTTTTTGGTCAGCAGTGGTTTTCTCCTTGGATCTCCCATGGATGCTATTTTTGCCCAGTCTCATTTTTACTGTTGAATCATGAACTCTGACCTTAACCAAGACAAGGAACAGAGTTCCTTAGACGTTGTTCTGGGTTCTGACCTCCTGGATCAGTCGTTGATCTCCTGTGAAAATTCACCACTGTTCCAAGTTGTCTCCATTTGTGGATAATGGCTCTCACTTTGGTTTACTGGTGTCCCAAAGCCTTAAAAATGTCTTTGTGACCCTTTTCAGAATGATAGACGATAGATGTTTCTGTGGATCATGACATGATCTGTTCATTTTTGAGATATTTTAGCCTGCTTCACTTTGTCAGACAGATTTTTATTTTGTGATTCAACAGGCCTGGCAGTAATCCGGCCTGGGAATGGCCAGTGAAACTGAACTCAGCCACAAAAAGATGTGGTTAATCACAGTTACAATATTAATTAACTTTTTCCACAAAGGATAAACTTTGTCTTAAAAAAAATCAAATCAGCATTTAAAAACTGCATTTTACATTTAGTATGGTTATTCTTATCTAATATAAAAGCTTTTGGAAGATGTTATACGTGCAAGTGTGAAACATTTTCCACAGTTGTAACTTTAAAGCAAGGTGAGGAGGATCATTTTGTTAAATACCCCTTTGCCTCACCTCCTCTGCTCTGGGACTGCAATGTGAGGAGAGGAGTCATGGATGTGCAGTGGAAATGAGAAGGGGAGTGTGTCTATGGCTAATGTGTGGAGTGCAGCGGTTGAGATGCATTGTCCATAATATCGAGTAGTTTCTTAAACATCCTCCTATTCACCACAAGGTCAGACATCACAAAGATGGACTTTCACATCGATTCATCTGCTGCACGAAGAAGTTTAGTCTTAGACATGTTAGGCAGGACAAATAACAAAAACATGGCTGACTGACAGTATCTAAACACCCAGCTCTATTTACTGTGGTCGAAAATGTTTGTATTTGGGAAGAATTCAGCGGTTATGATGACGTTTTACTGGGAAACAAATGCAGTGACAGAAAGCAGTAGCTGTGCAAACCCGCAGCAGAGCCTGGATGCTCCGGCTTCTTAACGTAACTTGTTAATTTTTCATGCGGGTGCTTACCTTCGGCAAACATGGCTGACGATGACCTCACTGCTCTTCATTTTCAATGGGTTCTCTAAAAACTGCATCTCATTGCTTCCTTAATAATAAAAAAAAAATTACTCATAACTCAAATTACAAGCCACCATTTCCTCTTTTTTGTGTTGTTGTTGTCGAGTGTCACAAGTCGAAGCAGGTGTCACATATTGCTACCATGGCAACATCAGTTTTTGGTCTTCAGTTAGCCTGAGAGTAAGGTGTCTTTGAATTAATCGGTCTTTATTCTTGTGAGACTGGCAAAGTAACTGCAAATGTATGCAAAGAGGTATGCACCGAACGTTCGAACAGTTAAGAATGCAAACTGTAACAAAAAGCAAAAAACCTTTGACGTGTGGTGGATTACTGAATCAGTACATTACTTTTTTAGTGGGTTAAAAAGTTTGTGTTTATTATTGACTGTTTGGTTGGTATAGGAGGCAAAATGAACGTGAATTTGCACTGGTATCAGGTGACAGTACCTCGAGGATGTGGCTGCAGTGGATAGATGCAGTTTTCACCTCACGTCCTCTTGTCCAGGCTGACCAAGGACATCGTTCATGCTTCTATTCAGATGATCCTAGGTTTTCCTTCTCTCTTTTTTTCTTTTTCAGTTCAGTTTTGAACCTCTGAGCTAAAGTCACTAAACTTTACCAGGTGATAGAAAACACTCTAAACCCACAAAAGGGCAAAGAAGACAAAACTGGATCCACAAGAGGGAGAAAAAGA